CCCCAAAACCCCAAAACCCCATGAGCAAGTAATAGAGAAAATTAAACTTGAATGCAGAAATAGTAAATCAATTCAATAATCCATCTATACGTCAAGGTTAAAAGATTAGATTAAATAATTAATAATTGTAATAGTATTTTATTCAACTAGCTTGCTGGATGATAGATGTGGGATTAGTTATTGATGATAAATATTCATTGGTAAAAAAAATTGGTCAAGGCTCTCAGGCAGCCGTGTGGTCAGCAATTGATGAAGAGAGACAAATTGTTGCTATCAAGTTTGTAATACATTTTTCCATCTTTATTAATTTATCATTAGATATAAGAAAAAGAATTATATGAGAAAGAGATATATATTCTATAGCAAGTAAAAGATTAGGAATTTAATGGTAAAAATTATTGGGATTATATGTCTTCTTATAGGCTTACCATAGTTGAGAAGTAATGGGCAAATGATTAATGGAATGTATTTCATTGTAATGGGAAAACTAGGCAAAAGTCTATAGGATATTATTTAAGAAAGGTAGGAAAAGTTTTCTATGCTTACCGTCCTATAAATCGGAGTCTAGCTTGTAAGTTCACTTATATAAAAATGCTATAAAATTAATATTTAGGTGTTTGACTTAGAATAATTACATAACACTGGTTATACGCACTATGATATTAAACCAGACAATATTCTTCTTGAATGTGATGACTTCGAAGATTGTGGATCCTCTCTTGTATGCTTAATTGATTTTGGGATTTCTTTAAGTTTATAAGAAGCTGCTCCAAATCAAGAGCCTGCATTAGATAATAGCAATGATAAACAAAAACAGCGAAGAAGACTTTTTAATGGTAATATTGCTTTTAGCAGTGCAAATTAAATGCTGGGAAAATGTAAGGATAAATCAGATTTAGCTTATTTATTTTTGAAACTATTCACTAGGCGTATTTAATATTATTTTTTAGAAATACAGCGAGCTGATGATATTGTATCCATCTTGTATTTAATGATATATTTATCAGAAGGTAGACTGCCTTGGTCTAATTAGAAAATAACTAATAATCAATATGACTCATTCCGAAAAGTTAGGTAAATAAAGTAGCAGATGCAAGCATACCTAGAGTAATCTGAATCCAAATGTATTTATATAGAATTAATTTATTAGGTATTTTTAGAAGATTATTAAAGCATACTCATTAGCTCAAAGAACCAAATAATATTGACTACGCTTACTACATAAATGAACTAACTTAAGCAAATCCTAATAGTTTGAAAAGTTTTAGCTGGGTTATGGACTGGACTTAAGCAAACAATAACTGGTATAACTCATATTCAGAAAAATAGTATATATTCAAAAATTTCGTCAGTAGAAATAAAAGTTATCAAAAAGCTAAAGGAAATTAACTTTTATAAACCAAGAAATCACTGACCTAAAAAAATTTATACTAGGCAGTAGATAGAAAGAGAATGAGTACAAATATGATGAATAGTGGCTCAATCTAAAAACAAAAGCAATGGCAAGTAAGTCCAGATAAACCTAATATAAAGCCTAATAGATTTTTTAATGGAATAATACTGGGTAATGATAATAATAATATCAATCACATGGTAAAGCAAGATGAGCCAACAGTTAATAATTCCTAAGTGAGTGATATAGACATAAATAATTAAATAAGAGCTCAGACTCTTGCTAGAATTACTTAACAAGATATGGTCGAGAGAACTTAGTATATCAATCAAAGGAGGAAATAAACTAAATTCAGATAATCAATTGATAGCTCAAATCAAGATCTTGGATCCTTTTTATATAGACTCTCAAATATTTAACAATTAAACAGAGATAAGACCTCTCAGAATCGTTTAGATCTAGAGAGCTAAAAATCATAGACATTTCAGTTAAATCTAAAAGACGTAATGAGAGCAAATAGAAAAATTTCTAATGTTGTTCTTGCCAATGATCTCGGAGACCTTCAATTTTCTTAGAATAATATAGAGCATTACTTAAACATTGCATCACAATGCTTTCTATAAGAATATATAACTATCATTGATGATACTTGTATTTAAATACAAGATGTAGATGAAGATTTTAGATAAATAGAAGTTCTACGGAATTAGTATTATAAATACACCATTGATTATATTCCCAAAGGAAATGATTTAAAACTTATAATGAGCTAGCAGTGAACTGTGAAAATAGACAAATATTTATTAAGATATGAACTTTATTAGGAATCTGATGGTTAGGCTAATTAATAGGTAGTCCTCCACTGATTCAATACGTAATTCTTAATATTCAGTTTGGAAGTTAAAAGCTTTAATATTTCATTTAAAAATTAGTTTTATCATTGAGAAATTAAAATTTTGATTCACGGGGTTTTGGGGTTTTGGGG